CGTAGCCGTAGCCGTAGCCGTAGCAGTAGCAGTAGCAGCAGCAGTAGCAGTAGCAGTAGCAGTAGGAGTAGGAGTAGGAGTAGGAGTAGGAGTAGGAGGAGTAGTAGTAGTAGTAGTAGTAGTAGTAGTAGTAGTAGGAGTAGCAGTAGCAGTAGCAGTAGCAGTAGTAGTAGTAGTAGTAGTAGTAGTAGTAGTAGTAGTAGTAGTAGTAGTAGTAGTAGTAGTAGTACCCTACATGGACTTGTATGTTGGCAGGGGGCGGTCATTCTAGCAGAAGCCCACATGAATGCCAGAAATTTCATAAACGATCATCCTCGTCGTATTAGTGGCACTAGTGATACTCAAGGTATTCGAGTACAAGTCCTGTTCCTTGCCGTCACAGCAGAATCACCATGTTATCAAACACAGCATGGCAAACTAAGTGAGACTGGGAGACGACGTCACGATCGAATTTTCCCGGAGTTTAAAACAAATGCAATAATGGCAAGCAATATCTGCAGTGCTGCCATCGTTGGTGGTGGCGGTCGTGGTAGTGTTTGCACAAAATGTTTGTTCCGTGCCAAAGCGTGCGCCTAAACCTGACATCTTGCACTAAATCGCAACCCCGTCGACCCGACAGTAGGAAATCTCAGGAGTCCAAGCTCATTAGAATCATTAGAAGCGAAAGCCGAAGCAACAACTTCAAGATCTCAAACCGCATGGCATGCATCAACCCAGCCACCCTGTCCGGTAAGTGTACCAGAAGGCCCTCCAACCCAGGCTACATGAAGCGCTTGGCACCTCAAAAACTTGGTTCTGCTTGCTTTGGCGGAAGACCTCATGTGGCAGGCAGGTCTTAGGCTAAGGCTCCTCCGGCTCGAAACTTCGGGCACTTCGAACGTGAGATGCTGTGTCCAAGTTAAGCGCTGTAGCTTGTTGAAATTGGGGAACTATATTTTGTAGAAGCTGAACCCAGATGCCCTGAAGTCCCGAAGTCTGGCCTACACTAGTCATGACGCAGTACCAGCAAAGAGTGGCTACATTGAGGTGGCAACGTCATCTGCGCCTGATGTGGTCGGCAAGCGCAGAATCACTGAATGAGTCCAAGCAGCTGCTGCACGAAGTCTCTGCTTCACCTCGGCATTCAACAGCTGATCTCACTGAGGCCAAAAAAATGCGCACATGCGATAATGCACATGCATGGCGAGAGGGGAAGAGAGAGAGAGAGAGAGAGAGAGAGAGAGAGAGAGAGAGAGAGAGAGAGCGAGAGAGAGCGGGAGAGAGCGGGAGAGAGCGGGAGAGAGCGGGAGAGAGCGGGAGAGAGCGGGAGAGAGCGGGAGAGAGCGGGAGAGAGCGGGAGAGAGCGGGAGAGAGCGGGAGAGAGCGGGAGAGAGCGGGAGAGAGCGGGAGAGAGAGGGAGAGAGCGGGAGAGAGAGGGAGAGAGGGAGAGAGGGAGAGAGGGAGAGAGGGAGAGAGGGAGAGAGGGAGAGAGGGAGAGAGGGAGAGAGGGACAGAGGGACAGAGGGACAGAGGGACAGAGGGACAGAGAAGGGGAGGAGGGAGCAAAGCGGAGGACGGGAGGTGAGGCCACTTTTCCCCTTCATGAACTCATCTTCTCTGGGTGTACTCCACTGAAAATAAAAACCTCGGCCTCATGATGGAAATCGTAAGAGCCCTGCGCCTGCCACTGAAGTCGCTGCCCGAGTCACATGAACGCTGCGTAACGGCGTAACGACTGACCCCAAGGAAGACTAAGTCAGCAAAGCAGCGACTACAGCGAGCGCTGCTGCCACTGGGCAGAGCCCGACAAAGCGAGAGCCCAGCGACCTGCAGAAGACACTTCGAAGCAGGAACTCAGAAGTCTGGCGGTTTCGCTCGCTAGGCCAGGATGTCTTTTAAGTCTCAGTGTGCAACCAGCTCCAGAACCGTCACGGCACCTTCACTCCGGAGCTGTCACCAGAACGGAGCCCAGCTTAGCTTCAAAGTTGGGCGCGGCCACTTCGACCGAAATTTGCAAGCCCAGTAGCCCTTCAGCCTCTCTCGATGTCGAATGCTGCTTCCAACTCCAGATCCTCAACAACATCCCAACCGTGTCGTCAAAGCTGGCCTTGCACTTGGCTCCAGAAGCCCGGTCACAGGTGTCCAGCGCAACAGTGGCGGGTGACCCGAGACAGAGCCCGGGGCGAAGAAGGCGAGCTCCATTGCAAGTCTTTCTTATCTTCCGCTGTAGGTATAGGGCGGAATAAAAGAACACTAAACTTCTGCACATTGTCAATTGATATAACAAGGGTGGTGCGGCAGCTTTCCGGGCGTGGTAGCTCAGCTTTGTCTGATTGCCTGATTCAACGAACAGCCAAATGGCTGCCAGGCAGAACGTGATCATGCTGCCGAGGGAATCTCGATTGCCGGAAGCGGCTACAGAGATGGCTAGGAAACCTGACACATGCTTCGTGCACGAGGACAAGCCTGGACTGAACAAAGGAAGCCTGCAGCTCAAACCTTTGCCTAACGCCATGACTCGTCCTTTCGTCCCATACGGCCACCGCATTGTGTTGACATTGGGGAAATACTCGGAGTCGATGTCCTTCCGAAAAGGGGTGTAGATCCTGGCTGAGACGTCGCTGGCAATTCACACAGCTTTTATTTGGAGCGGGACATCTCCAACGACAGCCGTCCGCATCTCCAAACTGTCTGGCTCCCACTCTGCCCCTCGGATGCCTCCAGTAGTCAAAGAACGGAATGGGGTCATTCCTAGGAGGACGCACTGCAAGCTCCAGAGACCCGGGTCTCAGAGTCACTTCGGGGAAGAAGGGTTTTGGTCGTCAGGGGTTTTTCAGGTTTTAAACCCATTTCGCAGAGCTTCCTGGAGGGTGCCGGCTCAAGGTTCAAAGAGAAGCGACCCTGTAGGTTCCAACTCTAGGACTCTGAGGTGAATCAGCCAAGAAAGACTGCATCATACAGAGGTCCAAAGCCAACAACCCTGATGCCTCAAGGAGGAAACGTTCATGACTGCGACCACGAAAAGCTGCCGGCAAGGCTCAGACTGTTCCATTCGTGTGGAAGGAAGCCATTGAGCGGCATGGCTCTGATGTCAAAGCTGCACTGAGTCACTAGCGAATCTTGTGGCAAGGCTTTAGCCATCATCACTGTTACCACATCCAACCAAATTGGGAGACAGGTTGCGGTCATGTCTCGGCCAAGGGAACTGAGAGTTGACGACACCCAGTCGGATGGGGACCGTGCGATGACTGGCATTGGAACCTCCCGCCTGTTACGATGTTAGGAGGGTTACGTTGTTAGAATGTGGTCAATCACTGCTGGCTGGTTGATAATATCGAACGCAAATGGTGTTCTTTGGAAACGTTCGGCCCAAGAAACAGTTTTGGTCCACAGAGCTTGTCCTCTTTGTTTCAAGCTTGCCTGTCGTCCCCACTCACTCAGTTCCTGAAATCCAGGCTCCTGTGCGAATCCCTCAGACATGTAGAAACAGTACTGGCAAAGGCATCCCAGGAGCCTGGCAGAAGTTCAGAAGTTCAGATGTATTCCGCTTTGGCACTCCCCAAGTAAGTCCATGAAGAAACTTACCAGGTGCAGCTTCACAGCAATGGTTCTTAACATTTCTGTCTACACAAGGCAGTGCCACAGGTGATGCTCGCCAGAGGACGACTACTGTGCACAGACATGTAATGCAAGGCAAAGGAAGCCAAGCATACACCCGCGCCCTAAGCATGGAAAATGGCCCGAAACTCGGTGTGAAACGTTTCCCGAGGGCAAGCTTCTCACCTTTCCCAGTGTTGATATTTTGAGCTGAAGGTATAGGGACGCAGGCTGCACTTAGCTAAGGGGCCCAAATATTCAAGCAAACCAACTGTCATGCGACGGCAACCAGTCCAGGTACGCGCAATATGAAAATCTACCAGGTGCAACTGAAGCCACCCGAGGAACAGGACCCGTGACAAATTGACAATGCGACGCATCCGGGTTGCTGCCTGGAGAGACCATACAAGGCCCTTCCATTCGATTTGCAGTTTTCAATTGCTCCTGCATCCTGCTGAGCAGCAACCGAGCAACGCTGTCACTGGGGTTCGCCACGGGTCCTTCCGTCGGACACAGCGACTCGTGCAAGGCTCGGACAGCCAAGCATAGACCCCCTTGGAACATGAAATGCGGCTCTCAACGCTCGATTTGTCGAAGATGCCCATCATCTTCGAGATTGGCAAAGTTTTGCGACACCGAGCCGCTGGCCACGTGTGAAATCCAGGCTCAATCCGGCCATCTCCACACTTGTGCAGTGCATCCGACCGTGAGGCCGTAAGATAGCCTGTCAAGCGCCCTCCCTTTCCTTAAAGCCTTAAACAGAACTGCAGCTTGAAACAGCGACAAGATGTCGAACCCATGCAAAGGGATCTAGTAGGCTGAGGGCGTGAGGGATCGGGTGGAAGAAGTTCGCACTTTGTGGCTTCCAGTCTGAAGGCATTTCGGGATATTGGGGGGCCGAAGTCCAGGCTGTGCTCAAATAACCATGAACATCACGATTCTTTTGGCATCCTTCATCCCATCTTGCTACAATTCCCGTCCGTACTTTCCAGCAAGGTCATTCTCTGGACTCAAACTCCCCCAGCCGTGACACACAGCAACTACAGTTTGAGGTTCGACTGCCACGGAATGGGGCCGAACCGGCAGACCAGCGCCGAGCATTGCAGGTAGCAGCAAAACATATCTGAAATAGTCTCCTTTCGACTCTGGCGCTTGCAAACCGGACAAGGGGATAATTGGAATGCAAAAGTAATGGCAGGAACTAGTGCCTCGTCCATGTGGGCAAGACGGAAAGACGAAAACCGTGCGTGTGTCTCCAGTCTCCAGGATTGGAAACACATGCCGCAGCAAGGGGGTGGACTGCCTCGAACTTGCGACCTGGTTCACGGAATCCTGGTGCGCCTCCAAGACCCCACAGATCTGTCCGAGCTGATTCCAGATTTCACCCAAGAGCGACAACGAGCGGTTTTGTGAGCAGCAGCTCGTTACAAACATGGCTGCGAGCTGGTGTCTGAAACACGTCCATCCTCGCTTTGCTCCTCGATTGTCGGGATGTAACCGACCTGCATAAGCAGACTCACGAGAGGAGCTTGCATCTCTTCGTCTCCGTCCCCCTCTACAATCGGATTGAGCACGAACTCTGCCAACCCCGCTCCGCTAAGTGGGGCCCATGACCGAGGATCATTGAACTCCGGATGCTCTTGAACAGCCCGCTCCTCTTCCTGCCAGAACTGGGCGAGTTTGGCCCACACTGAATCGCTTTTTGATGCAGCGAGCTCTGCCAACCCCAACCCGTTGCTTGGGACTGACGTCGGAGGCTCTTGAACTTCAACAGCGCCTGGCAATGCCATCGCATCAGATGAAGATTCGCCATCTGCGTCGTCCTCCAGGTACTCCAAGGTTGGCAAAGCTTGCTCCTCTTGCTGCCACAACTGGAGTAGTTTGGCACGCAGTGACTCCCGTCTTGGCGCAGAGAGCTCTGCTAACCCCGACCGGTTGCTGCTGCCCGATGACGGAGGATCGTTGACAGCTACTGACATTGCCATTGCGTCAGATGAGGCAATCTGGTCATCTGCATCCACCTCCAGATGTACTGGCACGGCCTGCTGCCGCCTTTGGAATGGCCCGAACGGGACATGCTTCGCAAGCATTCCGTCACTCAGGGAGTCTGATCCACTGCTCAAGTTGGATGGCGGGAAATCTTCGACAGCTTCGTGCAGTTTGTCTGGAGCTGGCAGTCTGGAGCCGTCAGTGCATGTTGACACTCCAGGGGCAAGCAGCCCACCCACCTCGACACGCCGTTCTAAATGCTGTGGGCCCTCGACGCTCTGAGCTTTCCTCCGGAAGATGAAGCGAGGCCTTGGAACCGGTGGCCTTGCGGGTGCAAAGTCGGTCATTGTGCAATTAGCCTATCGCCTATTGCCGTACAAACCCCGTATGCAGCGTCGGAAAGCCGGAAGGCTATTCCAAGTTCCTTGATCCAATGTTACAGATTGCAGTTGGGATCAAGTCTGATCAAGTCGTGTCATGATGTTCAATCAAAATCCTGTACTCCTTTGGCCCGTTTCATTCTACATGGACTGGCTCGACAAAGTCAGATACTGTACTACAGTCAAGGACCCAGCCGCCTGCCATGAACCAGCCGCCTGTCATTGAGGAAACAAAAAAACACTCCTGAGCACCAGCCCGAAGCTGATAGGAAACGGAATGCGCGTCTCAAGCACGCAAGGGCTGCGAGCCAGTGATTTGCAGATGCCTACCAAATCCTCAGAGCCTCGAACCTGTCCAAGAACCGACATTTTCGATCCGTCTTGGGCTGGCCTGGCACCCTACATCTGTCGTCAAATACAGCCTCCATTGCTTGATGCTCTGCATGAAAAACTATACTACGTGCTTTGAATAAGCAAGTCGAAGGCTCTACCGCAGAACTTGGCGAAGAAAGGACCTACGCATGTAGTCCTGGCTCCCTGCAGCAGACTTGTCAGGGGAGGAACCCGGCCCTGCACATCACAGCCACAATTGGACACCGCATCTGTCTTCTTTTTGCCGATGCTCGTCATGTCCTCTTCTTGGCCTCGATGTCTTGCTCCACTGCCTCGAAACATTGAAGCTGTGGGAGGCCCGCAAGGGCATCATTAAGTCCTCGTTTTTGGCTCAGCAACCATGGCTATGGGTTCATGGCGCGGGGCAACATGGAGCAAGTCGAAGGCAAAGAACCGGGTCCACTGCAAAGCAGTGACAATGAAACTACGCCGAGTGGGTTGGTAAGGTTGGAATGCCAGGTCGACCTGAAATGTGTGCAGGGAAACCCTCAAATCACCACCCGCCTGAGACCCCTCACAGAATTGGATGCAGTGAACAGCTGGCTGGGCCAGATCATGCTTTGTGCCTTTGGCCACTTAGTATTCCGAGCCGACCAGTGGGTCCAGGAATTCAGACAGGTCAGGGTGTGTTTTGTGACGACTCATGCTGACTACCAGTGCTTTGAGTCCTCCATCCGACAGAAGCGCTGACGAAGCATATGTTAACACGCCGTGCAATTTTTTTACGTACTACCGGCGGAGGTGCATGACCGTCATGACGAAACTAAGGATTTGGGTGCCCCGATAGAGCTGATTGCAACTGCACTCTCACACACACACACAGACATTGACATGAACGCACAGGCGATCATACCTCCGTGCAACAGAGTTTGTGCACGATTGAAAGCACCACCTCGATCTGTTTCAAGAGATCTCGCCGTCGCCTGAGGAATCAGCTGGAGAGGCTCGGAGACTACATTGATGAGATGAGCAGTCAATGATTTCTGCGAAAATCAGCTCGAAACTTGGTTGAATCTTGAAAGCAATATCAGCTGTAATGCCGTGCTTGAACACGCGCTTAAGAGCAGGTGCATGCTTGCGGAGACATCGTTGACGAAGACATATGGGAACCGAACGACTCTATCGCAGCAATTCTCAGACATTCTTGTTGGGATTGTGAAGCTGCTGTCTAACCATGAGTTGCGAAGGCCGCACACTTCGCTCGTGAGTTTTGCCGGGAACCGGGAGGTCGGCTCAGGATTGTGGCTCGAAATGCTCGGTGCTCGCTGTGGGATAGCAGAGCATATCAGATTAAGACACACTACAGTCCTCCTTACACTACCATTATCATGACCATTATCATTAAGATTGCCGCTGCCACTGCCATTTCCGTGAATAATGCCAGTGCCAGTCCCAGTAACAATGTCAGTGCCAGTGCCGCTACCATTACCACAGCCATTACATCCACATTACATTGACATCGACATAACACACATGTGCAGTACACTTATATTACACTTACCTTCCATTACATTACATTTACATTACATTTACATCAGAGTTACGTTACCGTTATATTACATGTACATTCATTTACATGAGATTCACTTTACACATGCATTGCATTTGCATTACATTTACAGTACATTTACATTACTTGTACATTGTACTTACATAACATACACATTACATTTACACTGCATTTGCATCACAATTACAGTTACATTACAATACGTGTACAGTACATATACATAACATGTACATTACCTTTACATTACGCTTCCATTGTATTTATTCTACACTTACAAAACTTAACTTACATTACGTTTACATTACATTGAAATCACATTTACAATACAGTGACACTGTTAATATTACACTGAGAGTATATTTACCTTACATTCACTTTATAAGTATGTGGTCTTTACATGAAGTGTACATTCACTACACACTTCTATTCGTCTTTATGTTGTATATATATATATATACACATACACACAACCTACATTACAGGTACAGTGCATGAGTAGTACATTTACAGTACACTCACAAGAAGACAGTACTGTGCTACCTAGATTGCATTCCACGGAGCTACCGTACATTACCCGGTGTTAAATGTTACTTACACCGAATCAAATTGCCACACTGCGTTGCATTGCAAAACATTTTCAAGCTGCACAGTGCGGAACAGTACATAACATTGCCTCACATTCTGCACTACGCTGCACTGCATTGCCTGCGTGCTTATGTTTTACCTACGTGCATGCCTACATAAGCATAACATAAAGCATGCATACAGGCATGTATATACGCATATGTATATCCATCCATCCATCAGCCAGGCAGCCAGGCAGCCAGCCAGCCACCGTCCATCCATGCATACATAAAGACGTGCATACATAAATACAGGCGTGTCTGCCTGTCTTTCTGTTCTGTGTCCGTGTCTGTGCCTGTGCCCGTGTCTATGTCTCTGTCCCCCGTCTCCGTCTCTGTCTATCTGCCTGGTTTATTGGCATGCCTGTCTCTACGCTTGTTTATCTCTACATCTGTATGTCTGCATGTCTTTCTGTATGTATGCACGTCTGTATGCATGCATACTATATGTTATCAATACCTTGGCTACTGCCAAACAAAAGGCTAGTGTACCTGAATCACAAGCGCTGGGAACACGGATCCTGATATCATAAGCTCACAATTGCTCACTTCAGAAGCAGCCCAGAAGCTTCCCGAGGCGAAGCAGCAAAACACAAAGCATCCAACAACGTTGTAGGGTCTCGTGTCCTGGTAGGCAAAATCTGAGACTGTCGCTCCCTCTGTGCGCCAACCAAATCCAGGTTGTCCAGAGCCTGGGAACCGCTTGATTCCCGAACTCATCTAGGCACAAGGGATCGAAAAAAACCGAACTAGAATCGGTCGAGCAAGGTGTCGGGGCTTTCGGGCTTCGGGAACCGGTTCATGAGTTGCGCGGGCTCCAAGGTTGAGAGGCTTCAGAACGTGCGACAAGACACCTTGGGCCAACGCCGGGGGTGGAATCGAAAGCAAGTGACTGAAGAACCTATCCTAGAGCTTCTTCACAGCCTTGAATCAGTCTAAAAGCCGCGCTCCCTTGAGATGCAGTCCCTCTCATCCGTGTGGATTGCCGTCCCGTTCCTCTACAGAACACGCTCCCCTTTGGTGAGTCAGCCATGCTTTGCCATGCGAGCCTCACCTTCAGGCTTGCGGATGCCCAGCACAGACTCTGGATTGCAATGATGATCCTCCTGTTGCGTCCTCAAGACCTGCATATATGTCAACCATCGCAAAGTAAGGTTCAAACGAGAGACCGCTTCACAACCGCTACAGCAGTTAAACGTGTGAGCTCTACGTCGATGTACAGTGCCGAACATTGCCGAACAAGCTCTGGACCCACGCATTCAGACACTCGCAGGGCCCAAGCTGTGGAAGCCTTGACAAGGAGATCTTGGGCAAGAAGCACCGCCTCTCCAGCCGAAAGCTCTGGGCTTCAAGTTGGAATAAGGCGCCCCGGGTGGGTTCGCAAGAACTGTCAGCTTAAGTGTTAGGGTTTCACTGATGTACGATGTTGAGATATACTTTGCGTGTGACCAGGCATTGACAGGATGATGGGAATTGCCACAACATCTCCCCGGGCCCTCGCGCAGGCCTTGCGAGCTTCGTCGCTTGTTGTGTCAGGCAGCTTCTCAACGATTTCGCGTGCCTGCAGTGAAGAGCTCGAGTCTCTGGACTTGGGACAACTCCGGACCATCATATAAGGTGTCCGAACTTCTGAACCGCAACAAAAAAAGCCCACAGGGGAATGGCGGACAAGCATCCCACTGATCATGAACTAAGTCATACAGCCATATACTCGTGGAGCAATGGAGTCCAAAAAAGTGCAACGGAATCATCAAACTGTTTGTAAGCCAGAACGCAACCTGCCGCAATACCGAAAGGTGTAAACCTACTGCTAAGCGTAGAAGTGAAATTACGTAACTGACATTGCCTCATGATTTCATAATGCATCTCACAGCAAAACAATCCAACAGAGCAACAACGAATGTGGGGAAATGCAACAGCCCTGCGTGTTTGTGAAACAAGGCTGCAGACATCGAAACCAGCAACAACTTGGAACAACACGCTACTTACGTCTGCATAACCCCAACAACTTTGCGCCAGCCTGCATCGAACCTGTCGACTCTTTCGCCACTGGTTGCATTATGTCTCTGCATGCTTCCAGGTGGGAATGAAGAATCGCACCGCTATACTTCAGTGAGCCGGCGCCTCACTCACTTGGGCTGCACATCGAGAAACCTGCGGCGAAGTGGAGACGCATGCCCCGTGGACGAAAGCGCTCGGTGCAGGGAGGGATGCCTGGGATTGGATTGCCCCCTTACCTGAATTGCCAGAGATGGTTGAGGATATCGATGTGACTCCAGGTTCCACTTCACGAAAAAAGCATGGGAGTCGATGTTTCTTCGGCTTAATCTCCTGCATGCTGGCGGCTTAATCTGAATCCACACAAGATCTGAAGCCTTGAGCCACAGCCTCCGTCATCCTGCGTAGCAATACCTATCATCAGAGCTGGAACTGCCGACCTC